CTTTGCTGGTACTGACGTGGTATGTGGTTTACTTTGTGCAGCTGATGCAGTAGTGGCTGCAACCTGTAGAGGAGCAGCGCCAGGTCGTGGATGTGTTAACTGATGACGTTGAGGACAATGATAACGGGAATGACCAGAAGTCTTGCAGTTGTGACAAAACGGAGGTACGTAGTACCGCTGCTGCTGCTGCTTCGGCTGCTATTATCGCTGCTTCTGCTGCTACTGGAAATGTTTTTGTCGTTGTTGCTGAGGTGGCTCCACCTGACTATGTGCTATGAAAGCAAACTGACAGATCCATATCTTGCTGTTCGGCAAGGAGTGTTACGCAGAGGTGCATCTCCGAGACATTCCCTTGAGTGCGGAAAAGAGAGCGTGTATTACGCCACTGAGGTCAAATTCCGGCGATGACAACTGTCACAAACATTGACTCAGGGAAGCTTCCTCCACTTCGATTAAACTGGTCACGTAACTCTCTGCACCGGTTGATGTACTGCACCGCATGCTCTCCTGCCTTCATCTGCACGTTCTTCAACTGCGACATAAGTCTGATATGTGTTACACAGTCTGTTGCTAGCTGCTTTAGATGTTGCCATGCTAACTTCGCTGAGTTGGCAAACTCTCTGTATGATCTGATGCCTTGCTGTTCAGTGAGTGACAGGTTGCGCAGAAGAATGGTGAACGCATCATCGGTTGAAAGGCGTATCTTCGCTGTTCATCTAGTGTGCCGTTGACTGGATACTGTATTTCCCCGGTGAAGTACTCCCAAATCTTTGCTGCTTCCATCATGAGTTCGAATTCAAAACTCCAGGTGAAGAAGTCCTTTTCGTCGAAGGGTCTTGAGGTCTGAAACTTCAGGATGTTCAGCATCTGTGTTTGGTAATTGGTTGTGTCGCTTACTCCAAGAGCATTTCCATCCTGTTGTTGTTGTTGCTGTTGTTGTTGTTGTTGTTGTGAAGGTGTGCTTCGAGGCACAAACGTGTGAGTGACCCGCGACTGCTGTCGAGGCGGATTACGGTAAGAAACCGGCTGTTGTCGTATGTATGATGTCCCATCAATGCTCATTGATGCAGTTCCCATGTTCACTGACGATTATGCTTGTGGTGCTTGTTGTGCTTGAGCTGATGCAATGAATGCTGACATGGATTGAAATAATTGTTGTTGTATCACAGGATCGACTCCTGTTGCACCATCGCCTGCAGCGGAACCTGTCAAAGTAGCTAGTCAAGCTTAGGACCCATGGCTAGGGTTGAGGGTACTAGCATGAGTATCGAGAGAGTTTAGCAAAGGAGAAAGGTGATTTCACTATAGCAAAACAGGAACATATAAGGGAAAGGAGCGGAGGTGCACCACCAAAACAAGAAGCATATAGCTACACTAGGATCTACTGTAGGCAGGTATATAAATGTATACAAATACATTTCAACAGAACCATCTCCATCTGTTGCAGCGTTAAACGTGAAAGACTAGGACAGTCCTCCTACACCTCCTGGTCCAGTTGCATATGCAGCTGTTGAAGCAGGGTTGCCAAAGGTTACTCCTGAGAAACCGGAACCAGGTAGTGGTGGTGCAGAGGGCTGATGCGAGCCACCACCTCCACTTTGCGAGTGGGGTTTTCCGTTGTTGTTATCCTCCACGTTAGCCCTGATAATGAAGACCTTTGTTGACTGAGGATTCTTTAAAACTAGGAGATCGTAAACTCTTCTGCTCTCATACCATGTTGAACTGAGAAAGTCCTTAGGATCTTTTAGAGTTTAGCCTCTGTAAAGTATTGTAGCGGAAGATTTGAATTCATGTGCTGGTATATTGTGAGAACAGGAATTGAATTAATTATAAAGAAGAGATACAAGATATTTATAGTCTACGAAAGTACCTATTCAGAGATGTACATGTTTATGAAACAGGCTAGATATCAAATCGACTCTACGAAGTGGTATAATCCAGTGTCACGTGAACAGTCAAGAGACCGTTCGCACTACTACTGTAGATTTATACTATCGAACTACTGAATTGTATACCGTATTTACCCGCCTAATGGACCCCCCAAATTTATAGAACCCCGGGTCGTTAAATTGGGGGGGTTCTAATGCTATCACCACTTTCGTAATAGACCCCCCTTTTTGTAATGCATCCCGGATTAGACCCCCCTCCACTGTAGAAAGCTCATTTTCGGCAAAACTCTAGCGAGACTCATAATATCAAGAGGGCAAACACTGTTCTGGCTAGAAATTTGACCACGTGCATGTCTCGCGTCAGTGCGTGGTCGAAATTTTCCTGATGCGAGATAGAAATGGTGACCTCCTTTATGTTGTAACACTCGTGTTTGTCATAACTTCGAAAAAAAATACATACAGGATTAGACCCCGGGTCTATTAAAATTTCACCCAGTTAATAGACCCACCCCCTTATTTTTCCCGGGGTAGGATTAGACCCCCTGGTCTATTAGCCGGGTAAATACGGTAAGTCAAATTTCTTTGTCCAACTAAAAAAGGCTGAAATATCAGAGTTTTTTAGGCAAATCTGAGAAATTTCTCTGACTTCTGGGGGCCTTGCAGGGGACAACACAAAAAGGTGCTATCATTCGACGATGGGAATGAGATAAATTATATAATTAATACTGTGCTTCTCCAAAGTGAGGGCATGATTTTGTGCATGCATCAATTAAAACCCTACCATGCTTACTAAATTACCGTAGCTGTGAATGTTAGCACTCATTTGAGTCCTGTACTGGATTAGGAATATTCTTGTTTTTCATAACTTGTGATACATGATGTAGTTGAAATTTGGGAGGATCTTATGTCAAAATTCGAGTCTGACACAAAGATCGCAAGCAGGCCCTCAGATTCATTTTAGGCTACACTGATGCATCAGGGCTGTTTAGTAGAAAAGCAGTTTTTGCCCTGATTCATCAGGGCTATACAAGGTAAGGTACCCTGATCTGTCAGTGCTGTTGTTTCTGTATACTGAATTCTCAGGGTAAGCGTCATTCCACCAGAAAGTGGCGTAGCGACTAAGGCGTCGGCATTGCTCTCAAGGGGTTGTCAGCTCGATTCTGGCTGGCTCCTATCCTCCTTCCCCGCGGGCGCGGAGCTGATGTCATTGGTTTGGTACACGTTGGCCCCGAAAAACATTTCGCAGTACATCTCGCTTCAGTGCTAGATTCGACACTATTCTGAATGATCAGGGCTGAACCTACACCATTATACTGAATTGTCAGTACGCACTACACTGATTTTACAGGACAAGTATTTCACCAATGCTGTTTTTCCAGGACAGACCCACAACACCTATCCTGAATTCAGGAGATTCAGGATAAATTATCCTGATAACATAGGTCGCAAGAGAATTCGATTTTGTTTCTCTAAAAGCTGACGCGCAATTGCTTATTTACTTCCTGATACAGAAAAACTACGGTAATAGCAAAATGAGGAGCCCCACAGAACCCCGCCAGCACGAAGGACCCCCCCCCCGCACCAGAGACCCGGGGGCATTCTTCCGCGAGGGTCCTACATAGGGCCACTGGCAACACTCTTCCTCGAGCATGCTACATACATAGGGCCACTGTGGGAATACGGTAGTTGGAATTTTGTTTCCAGATACTGTACCGGTAGTGTTGACCTGCCGCATCTCTTGAGCTCGCATCGCATACCTAATCCCGGCATGTGAGTACGAAATCCGCCGCCACCGCGCATGTGTTATGTACTGATGTGTCACCATTTCGTTTCGCAGTCACTGCCTTTTCACGTTTCGTATCTAGATTCGCGCTCTAAATCCTGGATTGGGTGCCGATAAGGTAGCAGCCACCGCGCAGTCCGCAAGCAAACCATCATATCCGGGATAGCTTGGATGCTGCCAGTGTTGCTCCGAAAGAAGCACGTGAAGGAACAGTATTTAGGGTAGTTACTATATTATTCCAACCTAGCCCGTCAGTTGTATGCTGCCATCGCAGCAGAACCGCAGTTGGCATGCGAGAGTTTTCCGAATGTTTTGATTCGATCAAACGTTCGTTGGTGGCGGGAGGGGTCACGACTCACGGACTCCCGTCCGCGATGCACTTCGGTCGGGCCAAAAGCCACTTTATTCCATTTTCGAGTCGACTAAAAACTCCACTCTATGACTGCCCGTCAGCGCAAGCCACCAGGCGCATGTCAGCACTGGAGATAAATCTTCTCGGATTTAGTAGCACGCCGATGGACCATTGACGGTCGAGACAGCGGCTAGTGTGGACGCGATCGTCGGAACGATTCTCGTTCCTTCCGACTAAGGAGTCCTTCAAACAAGGCTTCTCCAGTTCGTTCCTTCCAAAATCACGCCACCCCTTAATTGGATTCGGATTCTGAACTGCCCTCGCTGCCCCCGGTGCGAGGAACTTCTTTCCAGCAAGTTCAACTCAGGAAATGAAGCAAGAACTTTCCTTCCCGGCGAGAGTGGAGGAAAAGGCGGTAGGGTTCAAACTCTTGTACAGAATGCATGGATGGGAGATGACCGGCAGAGTAAGCTTCTTGACAGGCCAAGTAGGTGGGGGGGCGAGAGAGTGAACGGAAGGAAAGAATCGAAGGAGAGAGTGGAGGTCGGTGGGAGGGCGGGCAAGCGAGGCGCCCTAAACGGAGTCCTTTTTAGGTTTAAAAGCCATTCCCCCACGCATCCAGATCCATTAGTGCACGACACACCCGGCGATTGCGCCTTACAAAGCTCACATGCTGCCCGCAGTGCTCTTATCATACTGTCCCCGCTCTCACATGTCGCCTCTTACCATTCTCTTGAGCCGCCAGACCTAAAGAACCTCTTTTGAGAATTCAAGTTCTCCGATAGTACTACTTCATCCTGCTCCGCTAAACTTAGCTGAAAATTCTTGAAAAATCCTCACAGCAGCCGCAGATTCTTCTTGACTTTCTCGCTGCAGCGACGCGTGGCTCGTCCGGCTTCTCTCTACCATTGACATCCCTGCGGATACTGCTGTCGCCGCTACGACTACTACCATCTGCCGCCGCTGGTCGCGTCTGATGGGGCCTCCACGCAAGCGCAAGGCTCACCGCGAGGCTCCGCACGGGGGGGCGGGCAGCGCGCCCCAGGGCAACGCGCCCCAAGGCAACGCGCCCCAGGGCAACGCGCCCGAGGGCAACAAGCGCCAGGGCAACGCACGCCAGGGCTTCCGCGGAGTGAGGCAGCGCACGTGGGGCTCGTGGGTGGCGGAGATCAGACCCGGGCGCCACAAGTCCCGCATCTGGCTCGGATCCTTCCCCACGGCAGAAGCAGCTGCACGGGCGTACGACCGCGCTGCCCTCAAGCTCCTGGGTCTCTCGGCTCCTCTCAACTTCCCCCAGCCTCAGGCTTCCCCACCCGGCCCACTATCACTGGGGCATGAAGCCCCTGAAGCCCCTGAAGCCCCTGACGCCCCTGAAGCCCCTGAAGCCCCTGCAGCCCCTGAAGCCCCTAAGCGTCCTGGGTCTGGAGAGTTGGGGTGTGTTCGGCCGGAAACTCCTCTTGCTGGCCTGGCAGGCCGCATGCGAGCCCTCTCCACCGCTGAAGCTCCTCCTGAAGCTTCCACATCAGCTGCCCCTGCAGCTGCCACATCATCTGCCCCTGCATCTGCCCCTGCATCTGCCCCTGCATCTGCCTCTGCATCTGCCCCTGCAGCTGCCCCTGCAGCTGCCCCTGCATCTGCCCCTGCATCTGCCCCTGCAGCTGCCCCTGCATCTGCCCCTGCGGCAGCTTCCCTTGCAACAGCGTTGCCTTGGCCTGCTGAAACCACGACCTGGCAGGAAGCTGATAGCAGCACGGCTGCCCTTCCCTTCTCGGCTGTGCCCCCATTCAGTCCCTCAGCTCACCCTGCAGTTGCCTCCCACTCCATCTTCCCTGCTCTGACTGCGGTAGAGAGTGGTGCCAGAACGCCTGCTGCTCTTGCTCCCGCTGCAAGTATCGGTGGTGGTTTCTTTGGGGGTTACATGAGAGCACAGCTGCTGCAGCAGGTGCTCTCGCGATCCCGAGACAGCATGAGAGCACAGCTGCTGCAGCAGGTGCTCTCGCGATCCCGAGAAAGCATGGGAGCACAGATGATGGATCAGACTCGTGGGTCGGCTCACAGGTCATCTCTGTGGGACAGCATGGGAGCACAGATGATAGATCAGACTCGTGGGTCGGCTCACACGTCATCTCTGTGGGACAGCATGGGAGCACAGATGCTTGGTCAAGCACAGATGCATGGTCAAGCACAGATGCATGGTCAAGCACAGATGCATGGTCAAGCACAGATGCATGGTCAAGCACAGATGCATGGTCAAGCACAGATGCATGGTCAAGCACAGATGCATGGTCAAGCACAGATACATGGTCAAACTTCAGCCAGTGAAATCACCACTCGCGCCACCGCTGCTGGAGGCAGCTGCCCCTTTTCTGCTGCTGCCATCACTGCTGCCATCACTGGCGCCACCATTGGTGCCACCATTGGCGCCGCCATTGCCGCCACCACTGCCGCCACCACTGCCGCCACCGCTGGCGCCGCTGCAGAAATTGACGGTTGGCCCATTGTTGCTGCAGCCGGTGGCATGAGCTCTCGCACAGCTGCTTTTGGGGATGGGAGCTGCTCAATTGCTGCTGCTGGGGAGGGGTTGCCGTCCATTCTGGGCCATGTGCCGTCCCTGCCACTGCCGGGCCATGTGCCAACCCTACCACACCATGTGTCGGCGAGTGTTACTGTGCTGGCGGCTCTGGGTGCGAGCAACTTGCTCAACACACCTGTGCCTCCTGCTGTGACTCCTGCTGCTGCCCCTGCTGCTGCACTGGCTGTCGCCGCTCCTGTTTCTCCTGCTGCCGCGCCTCCTGCTCCTCCTGCTGCTCCTCTTGCTGCTCCTCCTGCTGCTCCTGCTGCTGCTCCTCCTGCTGCTCCTGCTGCTGCTCCTGCTGAAGCCCCTAGAGCACAGGCAGCAGCAATGCACAGAAGTTACTCGGACCTATCCCTCCCTCCTCCTTCCCACCGCATCGTCCCTTTCACTTGCCTCTCGGAACCGGCTCCTCGGAGTACAAGCCTTCATTCTGGCAGCACTGGTGCCAGCACTGGTGCTGTCTCGCGAAAGAGGTCATGGGAGCAGGCTGCGATGCCTATACAGTCACACCAGGCAGTCCACACAGTCACACCAGTGGATGAGCAGCTAACGAAGCTGCTGTTGGAAATGGAAGAGGACGAGAGAAGGGTGAGAGAGGCACAGTGGATGCAGCAACCCGAGCAATTTCAGCAACCCGAGCAGGTTCAGATGCTGCTGTTGGAGCAGCAGGAGGAGGATACGAGGAGGGTAAGGGAGGTAATGTGGGTTCCACAGACAGAGCAGGATCAGATGCTGCTGCCTGGATTCAACAGCCCTCAGCAAATGCAGCATGAGCTGCAGGCAGCGTTGGCACGGGTGGTGCATTTGCCTCAGATAAACCCAGCTCAGCATGTCCCCTTGCAAACTCAGCAGCACCCAGCTCAGCATGTCCACTTGCAAACTCAGCAGCAGTCAGCTCAGCATGTCACCTTGCCAACTCAGCAGCAGTCAGCTCAGGATGTCCACTTGCCAACTCAGCAGCACCCAGCTCAGGATGTCCCCTTGCCAACTCAGCAGCAGCCCACGCATGCATTGCTGGACTCTCTGCTGCAGCAGCTGGAGGCGACACAGGAGTATGAGATGATGATGCTGGTCCAGGAAATGCAAGCGCAGAGGGAGGAAGATCTGCCTTCTGCTCTTCAGCCTCTGGTTTCGCCCACGCTGCACAATTTTCAGCCGGTCATACAACCATCTTCTGCATCACCCCTTGCAACCTCTCATCAGCAGTCGGAGAACCCCGAGGTGCCATACGATTGTGTTGTTCCTCTGGAGCCCCGCACTCCTACTCAGTCGCATTTTCCATCAATGGCAAACATCGGCTCACATAGCGTGAGTGCAACAGATTTAGAGCTGAACTTTCTGGCCAAAATAATGAAACCATTGAGTGAAAAGCGGGACGAATGATTTCTGTTTTGCTCTCTTGAGTTGTGACATTGCTGTGATTTAGTGTAACGTGCTGCGATCAGAAAAGGCTTACCACCTGCCACCACACACCTTGAGGCACCCCCAAACCGGCACCGCCACCTTATGTGAAAAAGCTTACCACCTGCCACCACACACCTTGGGAAATTTCTCTGATTTGCATGAAAAACTATGCTATTTCAGTTTTTTTTTTTTGTCTACTCTGAAAGTTCATATTTTCTTAGGGCCTCAACTCTGATGTTTCAGCTTTTTTTTTTTAGACTTCGGGAGTGTACTCTGATCCTTCAGAGTACAAACGCGTACCGACTCTGTTCAATGTACCTGGGTTGGCGGGGATCCGATGGTTCAATTGTGGATGTTCACGATGGATGTGTTTTCCTACACGGGATTGTGAATTTCATCGAAATCCTGGCGCTCGCCGAGAAGATTGACATACTACGCCGTTCGAGGCCGGTTCCTACAACTACGGACAACGTACTCGAGGAACGGCCGAGCACTCGGCGGATCACGTCGTTGCGATGAATGCCGATGTCACGCCTTTTAGGGGACGCTGCTTCGCGTGCAACAGGCCGGGCCATCGCCAGAGCGAATGCCCAGAGGAGTTAAAGCATCAAGGAGCGGAACAGGGGAGAGAGTCTGGGAGGCAGGGAAACGCCAGCAGTCGGTAGAGTACAGGCCCACTCCTGACGAGACTCACTGCTCGCCCGACCCCACTGACCCTCACCGAGTGACTGTACCGATTCACGCAATCGATCGGGCTCGGCTGGATAAGGAGGGTACGGCGGCAGATTGCCTAGTACTGATTCACGACAAAATACAGGGGACAACACTGAAAGTTTTTATTGACGGAGGAGCTAGTCACATTTTAGTTGATACTGTGACTCCAAGGAAGTTGCAACCGACACTTAGCCGATGGTTTACCTGATATCGACGCACGGTTGGTTGACAGAACACCACTGGCAATACGGGAAAACATGGAGAGGGCGAAGATTCGCTCTGGGGGGGTGTTAGGATTTACTCAGAAAATGCAGGCAGGGTCGTGCTACATCGCTCGCCTGAGTCTTCAACGGTCCGCGTCAACGCCATCACGATGAAACGAGCCGTCGCCTCGGGAGCTGAAGTGTACGCTGTTGACATTACGGAAGAGTAGGAGAAGCAGAGATGTCGAGCGGTTTTCAGACACTAGTGGCAGCTGTACCGACCGATCTGAGGGAACTGTTGGATCGGTACCCCAGTATTTTTCCCGACAACTTACTGGAAGATGTGCCACCTCAGCGACCGCACAACCGGATAATAGAGTTAGAACCGGGAGCAGAGCCAACCGTACAACGTCAATTTCGACTGACACAGCCCAAGTTGGAGGAACTCAGGAAGCAGTTATATTATTTACTCGTGATTTTGTTCACCCGACCGAGTTCGTCATCGTTCGTTGCACCGATACATATCACCAAAACAAAAAAAGACTAAGGGTTTCGAATGTGCATAGATTACCGAGCACTGATCAGGGTTACCATCAAGTTGCGATACCCCATCTCCCGCGCCGACGAACTCATAGACCAACTACGAACAGCTAGGGTTTTCTCAAAGATCAACTTACGCGGCGGTTACCACCAGATCCACGTCGAACCAACAAACTGCGCCAAGACAACATTTAAAACTAGATACGGGTCATTTGAGTGCACCGTGATGCCTTTCGGGCTGGCCAACGCACCCGCGACATTTCGACCATGAATGAGGCGTTTAGGACGCAAGTAGATAAATGCGTCATCGTCTTCCTCGAACATCCTAGTCTACAGCCGGGATAAGCAGCAACACTTAGTCGACTTGGGAACATTATTTAAGATTTTAGACGAACATCGACTGCTGACGAAGATTTTAGCGGAAGGGGGTCGCTTTTACGTTGGGGGAGAAAGAGCGCTGCCTTCTCTGCCCTGAAAAGGTGTTGGTGGTGTTCTCCTGGCAGGTGGCATCGGCATGGCGGTGGCATCAGAGACAAATTTGCGGGAAATTTCTCATGCGACCAAACCACCCTTGTAGAAGGGAGATTTCGCATTTCGGCCCCGGAAAGCAAGGGCACAAGAAGTGAGATATCCGCCCCGGGTTGCAACAGTTTCGTCGCGGGCTCTGGACAAATTTCTGCACTCAGCGGGGCAAGGGTTGGGTAAAAAGCGATCTGAAAACGAATGGGGTTTGAGAGCTGCTAGCCTTCTGATTGCGTTAGGGTTTCAAGGCTTGTGTTTCAAGAAGGGCGCCTTTGGTTGCGTTTTTCCTTTCAGCGGGGTGTGATTGCGGTTTTCCCAATTAGCCGATGCCTCTGCCATCTCGTGGCCATTCACCTCTCTGGGGTGGTTCGCCATGGGGTGGCACAGGCACCACAATTTGCCTGAGAGGGAAATTGTGAGGTTGTTTCATTCCGTTTTGATGTCGTCCCCAACTGACATGTTATGCAGCCAATGCCATGCCGTTTTGGTTCGGACGGCATCTTCGGGCTAGACACGATTTCTGGGGCCGCCCCCCAAAAAGTCAACGCTTTTGCAGCATCGCGGCACATTCCTCCGACGGCATCAAGTGCCTGCAGAACATCGCCGTTATGTGTTCACCGCCCGTTTTACATATTGACGGCCCACACCGCCCATTCGAAGTGGTTACCAACGCCAGGGACATCGCCATTGGAGCGGTACTGCAACAGGACTTCGGCGACAGTTTGCAGCCCATCGCATACGAGTCACGAAAACTTCATCCGCCCAGGAAGAATTATCCAATACACTACCGTGAAATGCTCGCGACAACGCGCACAGTTCGCAGCAGCACGAGTGGTGTATTACGTAAAAGCAGGCATTGACCGTGTCTTGGTACCTGCCTACACCCTACTGCAGGAATTATTACTTTAGGATGCTCACGATGGAATTACCTCAGGACATTTCGGGGTCAAAAAACATGACAGCAGCTGCAGCGATATTATTACTGGCCCGAGATGATGACCGACGTACAGCGACACGCAGCATCGTGTCCCACCTGCCAACTCATGAAGTCGTCACGACAGCGACTGGCAAGACAGTTGCAGCCGATACCACCCCTAGAGTGTGCTTGGCAGCAGGTGACAATGGAGTTCGTCATGGGGTTACGTGCGGGAGCAAGTGGGAATGACGCGATCTTCGTGATCGTCGATTGGCTGACGATGATTGCCCAATTCGCAGCCTGCAAGAAATCAATCTCAGCCGAAGAAACAGCACGACTCTTCATCGCCACCGTCATTCGCCTGCACTTGATAGCAGCGGCAATCATCTGCGACCGTGTTACGAAATTCATTAGCAACTTCTGGCGGAACCTGTGGCAGCAGTTCGGCACACGACTCGAGTTCAGTTCATCATACCACCCCGAAACCGACGGTCAAACAGAACGCACCAATCAGACAATGGAGCAGTTAATTCGAGACACGTACGACGACCTGACAACTTGGAAGCTGCAGTTGCCACACATCGAGCTCGCGTACAACAATTCGACGTCGGCCACCACCCAACAATCACCATTTTATCTCAACTACGGACAGAACCCTACAGTACAGTACCCATGACGCTGAATCCCGACAACCCGTCCCACGTGCACAGCAATTCACCGAAATATTACTGGCAGCATGGACCCGAGCTACTATAAAACGAAAGCATCATCGCTAAGCACAACGCCGACCTCCACCGCCGCCCTGTCACTTACCGGCCCTACGACCTTGTCTTACTACTCAAAACCTCCGCCTGCCCATCACTCCGAGATTACGGCCGCGATATTGCCGACCATTCCGCATGATCACTCCCGTAACCGCTCATCTCCTCTTGCCCGCGGACTGGTATGCCAGTCCGTCTTTCCACGTCATCCTGCTCCGCCCCTACGTACCCTCGACAAGCCAACTGCCATGCAGCCGCCCGACCAGCATGACACGACCGCCAACCGAACGAATCATCAGCCCAGACGTCATCAAGTACGTGACTCACAAGAAGCACGACGCATCGAATTTCTCGTCCACTGGAGAGACCGTACACCTACTAAGGACAGCTGGGTCCTCTTGGACAAATTTGAAAACCACCGTGTCCGCACCGAGTATCTGCGCAGCCGAAACGTTCGAGACATATACGCGCTTTCATAAGGGGCCTTTTCTTGGGGAGGGGGGTAGTGTAAGGAAATATTTTTTCCTAACTTCGCAACACAGGATACTGCGCATACGACTCTTCCCGCCACTATACACCCAACAGTAGCCCGTTACTACCTCGTGACACTCGCCTCGATACTGTTCCCGCCAAACACGATCATTGTTATGAGTTGTAAAAGTGAGTGCGTGGGATAACGAATAACGAGACTGTGACTGAATGAACTGACAATACAATGAAGGCACGTGCTAATATGGTTACTACCCTAGCTAGGAGGGAACCTCGGGAAACGAGGTTGGGTGCAGGTTGGGAGATCGAAGAGCCGAAGGCGACGCGAGGAGCCTCGGCTGTTGAGTTACTAAGTAAGAGTAAGCTTAGGTTTTAGGTAGGGCCTAGGCTTAGTAGCCTAGGCCTAGGGGAAGTCGAGGAGGTTGTGCCAAGGTGAGAGTCGAGAATGGGAAAAGTGGTGTTCACTATAGCACTAGGGTACATATAGTAAACAGAGCATGCAAAGAAGGTGCACCACCAACAGTTTATAATAACTACACTAAACTACAGCTACAGGCAGTTACATATAAATTCTAACACTCCCCCATAACTGCCTGCAGCAGGAGTTTGTGCAGAACACAACCTGCAGGGGTATACCAGCAACAGCAACAGCAGGTACGGTAACAGAGCAGGTACAGCAGCAAAGGGACAGGCGACAGCAAGAAATTCCTGCCACCCCCTTACTCTCTTCCCCCCCCAACCACAGGAGGGGCAGCAGGGAGAGTGAGGAGGCGGGCTGGCTCTGGCTGGTCACCCCCTCCATTTCCTCACCCTCCCCCTCCCCCTCCCCCCCAC